GGTTTCAGCCAATAGCCTATTTGCCACCGGAAATGGCAAACGTCGACTATGCTATAGCTCTATAGTTTGTGTCATATGCAAAGATAGTACACGACGGATGGTTCCAATTGTATCCGAATTGGCTTTATACAACGATTCCAGATCAGTGATGTCGAAGCGGCGTGCATCCAAAATAGCCAATTTACCACCGAAAATGGCTAACGCCAACTATCCTATATTTTGTGTCAAAGTTGCGACGGCTATTCAACCACAGCCTAGCGATATTTTGGTGAAGAATTAGCTTTGGTTTCAGCCAATAGCCTATTTGCCACTGGAAATGGCAAACGTCGACTATGCTATAGCTCTATAGTTTGTGTCAAATGCAAAGATAGTATACGACGAATGGTTCCAATTGTATCCGAATTGGCTTCATACAACGATTCCAGTTCAGTGATGTCGAAGCGGCGTGTAATCAAAATACCCAAACGCTCCACATCGCAAACAGAGCAGTGTTACGCACACAATCGGTTTCGATTTCTTCTCTCTGAACCTCTATCGACACCGCGTGTCCCATCACTAATTAATTATTAACTCGCTAATTATACGACATAATTCGCCCAAAATCAATAGGATTCTGGTCCGAGATAAGATGAATGTACATGCAAAATCTGGAGCAGATTCAATCTTGCTTTCGTGAGATATCGCATAGACAAACATACAGACATACAGACATACAAATATCTATCAACATACTTACCGAATAAAATCGATAAGTATAAATAAATTTTATATGACGTTTTACACGCCGTTCCCATAGAAAAGCATGACCCATTAATAGGAGCCGGAAGAATAAAAGGCATTATAATATTTTGGAATGACCGGAATATTTCCGGTTATGCACTGCTAACTAAATTTCTCATACCCTGGAGGAGGTGGTGGGAAGAAAAGTCAAACGCTCTAAGCAGGTCATGGTGCATATTTTGTTTTGTAGTTTTATTGCTTATACACAAGGGTCACCTATAATCTTATATTTTATTTATCTACTTAAAGTTATTGAAAAAGTCTAGTTTGTGTTTCAAGATGTTAATATGTTGGGTTTCAGCAAAATATACAAACCTATAATAACAATCAATCACATGATGAACCTTGACCCCTAGCATAAGTAGACAATCAATTTGATGTTCCAGATTTGTCGTTTGTGATGACGTTGTGGCCAGATAACGGTTTTAATAACGGTGGTGACCGCGTTAAAAATACTTTTCACATAATATTTTGTCCCAATCGATAGGATATTTATTTTTCCAACAAATTTCTGAATACTTTTGCGCACATTGAGTGATTTAACTACAAAAATAACTACTTAAACTATAGAAAAAAACAAACTACAAATTAAACAGCCTTTTATTTTGGTAAATGATAGTGTAAAGCCTAGTTGGAATAATTGTAATTTGTAATTAATTACAGTTTTTTTATTTAATTTTAATATAATTGAGGCATTTTCATTCTGTGTAATTGTAAATGTAATTGTAATTTGCTACAATTTTGACTTTTAGACCAGGAGTCACGAAACTACGCCGTCCTTTCATCTGGCCCGCCATAACACAAAAAAGAGCGATATATTTTTCCAAGAGGCGTTTTCTGAGAATCGCCTTCCTTTTGTATTTCAGATCATTAGCCTATCAGCAGGATGCGAAAAAGTGACGTAACAATATGCCTTTTCGCATCCGTTAAAACACTTAGACAGACTTTCAGTCGGGGTTGTAATCAATACCTCATTTTACAATTTCGAAAGCTTTTCGTTAGTTTGCATTTTGACAAAAACCCATTAATGTATTGAAAAAAAATCAGAATGATTTCCCAGGCTTGCTTCTTTAGCCAAGGATTATTTGAGACTAACAGCAACATCAGTCCCGTCATAAAGAGTTTTTTTAATTGCGGATAACTTTTATACGGCAAGAATAAATTTATTGGGGTCAGAAACTTTTCGCAGTCTAATTTTCATCAAGTGCAATCCAACAGTTTTTGAGGAAGTGAAACTGAAAACATGAACCAAAATTTCATTGGACAGGTTAGTGGACACAATGATTGTTTTGACCAACATTTTTGTTATTTTGTGTTGTTGTCCTCGCATTTTTACATAGTTACTGGAAGGTTGCTTTTCTTTTCGTTTACTGGATCAAATGCTCAAAAATTTTCAGTGGTTGAAGATGGAATTTTTTTTCTAGAATGCTATTACTTTTTTTATTTCTAAATTTCGTATGAAATCTGATACTCCGTCCAATATTTCGCTGTATTATTTTATCCATGGGAACACTGGCTGTCTGGTTTGATTCTTGCTACACTGAACTCGGAATTTTTTTGAGGTTATCGTTAGCGTCAAGGGTAAGGACTGCCTCGCTCTAAGTAACGTGTCCATATATTTGAGCATTGCTTTGTTGTAATTGTAAATGTAATTGTAATTTCATATTTTTTGCATGGAGTAATTGTAGTGTAATTGAAAAATTTAAAGGGATAATTGTAATTGAACTGAATTTATGTAATTGATCCAACTCTGGTGTAAAGTGTGCCTGAAAAGATAATGTAATTTAAACACACTCTAAATAGCCTCATATTTGAATATACATGGACATAATAAAAATGCCAACAACAAGTTTTCCGATTCTTACGTTTAATCTTAATTCAGTGGCTCCTTCCGCGAATGCATTCAGCTTTCCACTGGACAGACTTGAGTCGTAAATCGCCACAGTTATTAATCTATTAACTACAATGTTACCATGATCTTTTAGGTTTGTATCGGTTCGAATATAGTATATACCTTACACAGTGGATAATGATGCGTATTCGAAACGAAACTGCACCAACAAATTAAACTATGATTTTCAGCGTGATTAGAAAACCGAACAAAAACGCCATGATTTATTGTTTAATTTATGTTGGCTAATACCCGAATAACGCACTAATATTGAATTCGTAGATAACTAGAATTTAATTAATTTTATATACGTTAACTTAACTATGAAGGTAAGCGCTACTTTAAAATGTAACATTTGAATCAAACATTGTGTTGTCAATGCGACAATAATTTCATTCAACTCGATTTATATTGTCACGTGGCAAATTCCTATTAAATTTTCAGCCGCTTCGATTAGACTCGTCATTGTTGTTTTGAAAGGCCTCAAACTTAATACAAAACAGGTATTTCAATTAACTTCCAAACATATTGTTCTTGAAAACTGAAATGTTTTAATTTTTGTTGTCTCACTACCGCTGACTTTGGACGCCAATTTCAAATTACTACTCCCCAGCGAGTCTCAAAACGCAACAAGTCTTAGAATACGGTGAAAAGTCAATATTGCCAATGTTGGACTTATCATTGCGCAGTTAATATATAATAGTGTTGAGTGACTCATACCGGCGTTACGATATCTTTGACATCAAATATTGAGATCGATGTTAATACCTGCCATTTTCACACATACCGTGGATTCATTTGTTTGGTTACATATTAAAGACCTATACTAACAAAATTTGTAACCGATATTCACATGAACGTTCGAGCTTACATAAGTAAAGAAATTTAGGCAATTGAGGAATTAATGAAAATCACAATGCTACAAAAATACAAAATGAGCTACGTTCAGTTGCGGATATGAATAAGTGCTTGTCATAAAACATATTTGAGAATAATTGAAACGGCGAGCATGAGCCATGATTTCCATATTGCTACGGGTTACTATTTAAAGAAAGCTTCGTCACATTAAATAGCATACCTTTTAACTGATCGAATATCAGAACACATTTTCAAAATAATTATAATTAATTCATACAAATATTTCTGAATATTAAAAACTCATTAATGAGTTCCTTTTTCAGCTTGCAATATATATTTTGATAAATACTATTTTAATGCACGCGTGTATAGAAAATGTAATGAAATGAACTCTGGTATAATTCCTTTTTTTGATATAAAACAAAAATTTATCAAAAATATTTTAACTTTTACTTTCAAATTGAAATCAGTGGCACCCTGCGCAAATGCATTCGGTTTTTCACTTGTCAGATTACAGTTATAAAATTCCAGGCTAAAGTCTTGGATCTGAATGCCATCCACTCTCCCCACATCACCCAGGGTGTACTATACTGAGCATGCAGCCAATATCCAACCAAAGTAAAAACAGGTCCTTCCCATCTATAGTATCTACTAATCTTGTGAAGAGTTTTGTTGGGATTCAAAATCGCATAAATACATTGTATAAAAACACAATGAGTACTAAAATGAGTGATGTTACAAGTGAGAATATTATAAAAATCACATTTGTTAGTTTTATGCAAAGTTGTATCAGGATGTCCGGGTTTGGATTCTCTGACAGTCGTTTAATTTGACTTCACTCTCCTTTCCGATACTGGTTTTTTCTTTATTTTCCTTTCTTTCTTTTCTTTTAGTGTGTGTATGAATTTTGTTTGGATCTTTAGTACATGTTTTATAATTAACATGGGCCTAATTACACGCTCGATTGCTGCACGTGATTTCTTGGATCGTTCGAGCCACTTTCGAGAAAATCAAGAAAAAATGAATTGCAGATATTTGGCTTGTAGTTTGACAACTTGTTTTTATTAGAGAGTTTCATTTGACAATATTGAAATCTCGAACCTGTACTAGTTTTGGCGTTTTCGAAGTATGCGCACCAAGATGGCGCACAACCTGAACCCTAACCTGGTACACATACTACATTCAGGTTGTGCGCCATCTTGGTGCACATACTTCTGGGCTCTTTAG